CAGTCTAACACAGTAACAGTCTAACACAGTAACAGTCTAACACAGTAACAGTCTAACACAGTAACAGTCTAACACAGTAACAGTCTAACACAGTAACAGTCTAACACAGTAACAGTCTAACACAGTAAGAGTCTAACACAGTAAGAGTCTAACACAGTAACAGTCTAACACAGTAACAGTCTAACGCAGTAACAGTCTAACACAGTAACAGTCTAACACAGTAACAGTCTAACATAGTAACAGTCTAACACAGTAACAGTCTAACGCAGTAACAGTCTAACACAGTAACAGTCTAACGCAGTAACAGTCTAACACAGTAACAGTCTAACACAGTAATAGTCTAACATAGTAACAGTCTAACGCAGTAAAAGTCTAACACAGTAACAGTCTAACACAGTAACATTAATATTAGAATGTTAGGGTTTGTAATCCAAGTGATTATACACATTTTAAGACCTGACCAGCAGGCGCGGGGATCCAGCCTAAACCCTGACCGTGGCGCACTCCAAAACCGCGCATAATTAGGGGGGTCCGGGGGCATTCACCCCCGGAAAATTTTTGAAATTTGAACCCCGGAAATGCCATTTCCTGAGTTCTGAGCATCGAATTCTATCATATAATTCGTCATTAATTACGCCATATTTTAGACAGCAAATAACGAAACGCACTAAATAAGTCAAATATTTAACAACATACCATGTTCTTCAGCGAACGTTACAACATTAGAATGTTACAAAATCACTGTACTTACATAAAACCACAATTCTGTACCGCACGTACTGTTCCTGTGTATTTCAGGTTCTTCGTAGCAAAAAATATCCAATTAGGGCTGTACATCGAACTCAATCATCTTGGCGTTTCAGTTGCAACGTAGGTCTTTTACGGGGTGGGTTTTTTCCAGCTGCACATCGATACCAATTAGTGTCTTATTCTCGATCATTAGCTTAAACTGTGTAGCACGGAGAGTTGCCGTTGTGTGAACATTGGATTTTTCACCATGCTGACATAGTTTCTGGACAGCAGAAGCACTTGGAGGAAGAGCACTGGTCATCAATCGCTGGAGCTCGCTTGCATTATGCGTGCTTTCACTGCCAAAAAGAACACAAGTGACGCATAAACCACCGTTTGCCACAGCAGAGTAAGCCAACCATGGAAATCGTGATAACCATGCCAACCGGAAACGTCTACCAATATTTTCGTGCGGAGGAAAAGAAAAATCAGAACCAGGTTTCCAATGGCAATGATTGCACAGAATTTCGTACTTTTTTGAATCAGGAAGACTGGACACCAGATTTACGTAGTTTAGATATGATCTGGCCACGAATTGGTGGAAGTTCGTTGTGTTTTGGTGTTATATTTTTCTGAAGTAGGACCAGTGTTGGAAGTTACAGATGAAATTCCTTTACTAGTGCTGGGAAATTTGATTTCACTGTCTACAGTTTCTTGTGTGTTGTACGCTCGTTTCACAAGAAGCGCATCGATCTAAGCTAATTTGTTTTCTTTTTGGACCAGTCGTCTGCTTTTTAGTAAATGTAGTCACTTGTGTAGAGGAAGGAGCAGAAAAAACTTTAGTAGAAACTTTAGGAGGAACTTTAGGATGAACTGGCATCGCAGACTTCAATAAGGTTGGAAGGTGTGCTTTAAAATAATGGTCTTGTGGCTGAAGTGCTTTAACTGGTTTGCACAAGGTAACAAAATGATTTTTGGTAGATAGAATTCTTCGATCAACCAAATAAGACGGTGGCATCGCAGCACAATGAAAGATGTGGACATATTCAATTGCACTGCCATCAAGATAATCCCGTGGATATACTGTATTGTACAATTGAATCCAAGGAATCCCAATTTTCTTTCGCTACAGTATTATTGGTGAGTGGATAGAATGACTGAATGGCACACTGAATTACTGTGGACAAAGCAAACGTGCACACCATGGATGAGAATGTGTAATTTTTTGCAGCTTCCTTTGCTTCTTCTAAAACTGCTGCATTTCATTAAAATTCTCGAAAAAAGTAAGAGCTGAATCAGATACACACATGGCAAAGGCATTTTTAAGTGTAGTGAAGGCTATTACGTTTTTATGCTGGGACTCAATGAAGGAGTGGTTAGCATAGTATTTGGCATTCTCAAACAGTTCAATACTGGTGAGGCATCTCAAGTGAGCAGACAAACTCTCATTCCCGATTAACGCAATAGAACATGCATTAAAGAGACAATGAAGTACTGAAATAATTTAAGCATTTAAGTATCAATGGTTATTTTATATTATTTTGTAAATATTCAATTGAAACTTTTAACCAGAATGTCAACTTCTTTACACCACACAGTAATTATGTGATTATACTTCGCAAACTTCGCTCAAATTATCTGGAGAACAAATGTTATGCTTTGCCATTTGAGAAATAGCAAGGAACCATTTGTTTTCCCAAATGTTTTCCCTCCTTTTGCTTGTATAATCATGGGTCTCGTTCCATATAACTTTGTGCCAAAAGGATAATTACTAGAATTAGTCAGGGTAACCAATAGAACTAGAGTTGGTTTTAAGGTAAGGACTGAAGATTAAATTTTGGAATCATTAATATGGAGAGCCATACTACAATGTCTTTGTGTAATTTGAGTAACATCATGATGACATCAAATTCACAGCTGGCCTTGACTAACTCATGGGATTTTGTTGCAGTTTTAGATTCGGGATTAGGTTTTAATGTCAGGATTAGGATCAGGATGACATCATCCACAACAACATCGATATTCATGCACAACAAACACCTGTGAGGTAGTCACCCTCCAGGGGTCAGTTGTTAAAAAAATATGCTGTGTTGGTGTAATGTACTCTGGTGAATAAGATGCTTGTGTGATGTTATTAGAAAATTATGTTAGGGTTAGTAATCCAAGTGAGAATATATACATTTTAAGACCTAACCAGGAACGACTGCGCAAAATGCAGCACAAGGTCCTCTGGTAGGAAATGAACCTACGGCCCTGCGATTCCTACCAGAGAACCTTGTGCCGCATTTTTCGCAGTCGTTCCTGGTTAGGTCTTAAAATGTATATATTCTCACTTGGATTACTAACCCTAACATTCTAATATTAATTCCACCAAGTGAAGTGCAAGAATCCATATTGTGTGATGTTACTCTGACTGTATATCCACACCGGGCAGGCTTGAAAAATATGCCTGGCCACGGTGGGATTCAAACCTATGACCTTTGGCAAAGGCATTGGCAGAGCATTGGGCTAGTATTCCAAAGGTTGTAGGTTCGAATCCCACTGTGGCCAGGCATATTTTTCAAGCCTGCCCGGCCCGGTGTGGATATACACTCAGAGTAACATCACACAAGCATCTTATTCACCTGAGTACATTACACCAACAGTCCAACACAGCAAATATCATGATTATTAGATTACACTGATATCGAAGGAACTAGACTCAGTTCCAAAGTATTGCATACTCGAACCGATCTGACTGCATAGCTCAGTTGGCAGAGCATTGGGCTAGTCTTCCAAAGGTCGTAGGTTCCAATTCCACCATGGCCAGGCATATTTTTCAACCCTGCCTGGCGTGGATATATACACTCAGAGTAATATCACACGAGCAATTTAGAAATATTTCTTCACAAATCTTGTCTGGATGAATGAAATTTTTCTTCAAAGCTTCGAAGTAAACAGGCATGCAGAAACACACAAACAAAAACACTAGGTTAAATTTTAACCAAGGATCAGCCTTAGCTTAGAACAACCGACCCCTGCTCAACCTACAAATATTAAGGCGCTATATTTAAAGCTTGGTGAAACCAAATAGACGACTATATAGACCCAATACTAAAGTAAACATTTCGTTTTACAGTCGACAATCAAATGTTGTAGCCATAAACTGTAGCAAAACACTGATAACAGTTTTAAACAGAGTTTTTACTAATATTTCACGACTACATAGCGGATAAATGCAATTTATATTTTATTGACAACCGCCATGTGTTCGAGATCATATTACTATTTCACTAACAAAAGTTTACATACATACAAATTTGCATGCACAAATTATTCCCTGACCCCAGCGTAAATGCAAATTTAATATAAGTCGATTAAAAATTCTTACCTAACAGGAACATTAGGCCCAGATTTTTCAGTTTGGCTCTTGGAGAACCGCAGTTTTGAAAATTCACACGTTGGCAGCACGATGTCGCCAGTAGATTTTATACGGCGCAACCTTTCTTCAGTGATAAATTCATCATATTGTTGCCTCTAGAGCGATAATTCCCCTGAAATATGTTCGCTTAGGTTTGCTTGTTGAAAGATTTCGACGAGCTTCCTAAGAACATCGACTTTTTTAAAAGCTGCCATCCTGATAGCACCATGTATAAGTAGCTTGTGATGTATTATTCTTTATCCCGTCAAGTCGACAAGTATCGAACTTTATTGTTGATCATTTGTATTGCGCAATCAAAATAGAGCCACCGTGGCAGACCGTGGCGCACATGACCACAACTTGCCCTGTGATTGGTTTGCAACGCTGCACCATGGCAGAAAGTTACTATATTTAGTAACAATTGCGCAATTTTTTGCACGCTGACCGTGGCATTTTGTGGCTGTGATCGCAGCTTCGAATTTACGACTGTTTTCCGAACATATTCGGCACAATTCGGCACGCTTTCGGCGGTTTTTATAGTTCAGTGTTTAACTGGATAATTATACTATTGAACAAGGAATATATTTCGGAAGTTTTTCCTGCTTTTAGCACATATTACTGTAATATGAGAACAATTACAAAAGATATTATTCAAATTGTTTGCTATAGACCTATATTTGCTCAATTTTGCTGCATTTCAAATAACTAATATATACTTCTTAAAAATGCGTAATGCAGTCTAATGCAGTATCCAACAAAGGTGAACCCCGGAAAATCCTGGGTGGGAAAAATCTGACCGTGGCTCGAGCCACTTTTGCCACGGTCTGGATCCGCGCCTGCATTATGCACCCATCAATATTTCACGCACCACAGTTCAGCATATGTGCAATTGAAAAGGCATTCAAATTTTAACAATATGCTTGATTTCTAAAGGTCTCTTTTTTTATATACACCCTGTAGTCCAGTTCGAATTGAAGGATTTGGAATGACTTCTCATACCACTGATATCTCATATTCTCATATGAATAAATCACTACTTAAAGTGTGGTGAATTAATGGTGGAACCATGAATCCAGTATTATCATGTGAGCAAAATAAAGCAATATGATTGGCTAACGTAACGTATGATATGCCAACGTAAGGTTATGGGTAAATATATTAGAAAATAACTCCGAGTAACAGTTTGATTTTTAATCGACGTTTCGACTAGTTTGTTGTCATCCTCAGGATTACAGTCGATTTCAACTTACTTTTCACTCAAATGTTCCGAACTTCGTTCCGAACTTCGCAAATTCGTTGCCAAGTTCAAAAGTTCATAAACATGTTCACAAACAGGTTTGTAAACAAAGCCTCTGATTGGCTATTAAATCAAACCAGCCAATCAAATGCCCAGTTTACAAACCCGTTTGTGAATTTCATTATGAACTTTTGAACTTGGCAACGAATTTGCGAAGTTCGGAACGAAGTTCGGAACATTTGAGTGAAAAGTAAGTTGAAATCGACTGTAATCCTGAGGATGACTACAAACTAGTCGAAACGTCCATTAAAAATCAGAATGTTATTCGGAGTTACTGTTATTTTGTACTTTCTTTAAATATTGAGTGGTTCCCGTAAATATATTAGGATTTCAGGCATTCTACATTCGCTAGAACTAGGCTATTTATTCGAACCAACTGAGCTATTTATTCTCAAAACCTGGAGCACTCGAACCAACTGCGCTATATTTATTCTCAAAACCTGTACGTTTGACCTCTGTCATTATTAATAGCGCAGATAATACATAGCAGAAGCCGGAAGCAACCAATATCGAAACTAAACACCTGCCACAGTTTCAGTGTGAAATATTTAACATCATTAAAAATTGATATGTTTTTAATTTCACATCACTACAAACTAAACTAGCTTTTTTTATACTACATAGCGAGGAAGCCGGATTACAGATTACGTACCCAGCGGTGTTTGGTATAAAGTCAAATAGGAAGTGCTCTTCACATATGTTATAGTGAGGTTAAATTATAATCGCAGACATGTTTCAAGCCATTGAAAGACACCAGAACTAAAATCTTATTTACATTATCAAAGTTTCTGTGCTGAGAAATTTGGCGTAGATAAATTATAGGTTTTGAAAGATTGTAAGAAATATTTCAGGGAACTGACTTAGTGTTTTAATTCACATGAAGTCAATTTACTCAAACATTTCTTACAAATCCTTCCAAACTTAGTAGAATTTACTTATCCAAAGTTCAGAAACTTTGGTAGTGTAAACCAGGTTACCATGCAAATAAAGGAGTATTATACCTGTAGATATGAAGAGCAAGATAGTCTGTGCGGTGGTACCACCAGCTCTGTACTCCAGCAGTTTAAAGTACGAAAAAACAATGAATACTACCCCAATCATAGAAAGTCCACCTCCGATTGTGGTCGTTATGACATTAGCTTTTTCATGATCAGTGTCATGGTCATTGCTGGCAGTGGTCGTTGAATAATTTACCAAGTTTATAGTGGTGGAATTAGCAAGGAAACTTTCTGGTGTAAACATATTTGAGCATGTTTAGCAATGATGTCGTCATGCCAAATTTTGACCTTTGGATTCTGAAATTTGATATGGTCCAACAAGGATTAAAGGAATTTGTTTGTCAATTTTGTCAGAAAGTCTGTTACAATGAAAACATAGACAAAACTTGTGTTCAGTGCCCTGGTTGATCATTTAAAATTTGTTAAATATTTCCTAACAAAATAGTTATGGTATATTTACAAACGATACTGGATTAGAGACATACTAGAAATCTTGACAGGCTTTTTTATTAGTTTTATGTTCGTTAATGTTAAATTATTTGCAGTCAAATGTGAGCTAAGCATAAGATACTGAGAGAAATGTTTTTAGAATACAAATATGATATTTACAATTTTGATGTAAAAATGAGGTAGTTAAACATAATTAGACAGACTTATCAAAATACGAAGGTGTTAAGATATTATATACATTATACGTCTTCAATTTTGAATTTTGATGGCTTGCAAGCAATGTACAAAGTACTGTGATATATATTTTGTTAGTCTTATCTGTTGATAACCGGTTTTAATAAAAAGTAGTGTTTACATTTTTTGCGTGGTGTTATGCACTCAGGTGAATATGATGTTTGTGATGTTACTGAAAATAACATCACAAATGAGCAATAGCCCATCCTCGTCCCCAGGCCCAAGCTCGGGAGGCCCTCCTGGGGACGAGGATGAGCAATAGCCAATCACGTTTCAATACAGAAATCCAGGCAATTTAAAAGATGGAGTGAACACGGTATTGTTCCTGTAATGTTATGTTGTGACTCCACACGCTGACCTACAAACAACAACTGACTTTATTATCGTGATGGTTTAAATACACCCACGAAGTAATTATGATTATTTTTCATTGATTGTGTTCTCGGTTTTTCATTGGCTAAAAGCCTACAAATAATTTTGGGTATTTGTATGTGCCTGCGCTATTTCCAGCGGAAACAGTAATCTGCAGAGGTTATTGGACGGCGCCCGAGATATTTCAGCGGTATTTTATGTGAAAATACAAATTGGCGGGAAATGTTTAGTTGAATTTACGAAAAGTTAATCAATTCAATGAATATTTATTTGTTTTCAATTGTTGCTTGTTTTGTTTTCTTTCTGTCACAAAATGAATAATAAAACAATTATTGAATTCGGCTTGCGCAGGATATCCAGAATTATTTAGACCTCGGTCAATGTTATCTGCCTCAGCCTTCGGCTTCGGCGGATAACATTGACCTCGGTCTAAATAATTCTGGATATCCTGCTCAGCCTCATCCAATAATTGTTAATAATTAACGATCTAACTAATTTGAATCAGTACTACAACTCTCCTTTTAAGCTAATTATTTAAATTTACATAATATATTTTGTATATTTCCAGTTTCTTAAAAAAATGTTCAAATGTTCGAATTACTCTACTTGAAAACCGTTACAAACTATAGATTAGTCTTTGCAGTGGTTTCGACTTTCGATACACGACCACTTCTAGTCATATAAGATTTACTCAGTTCTTTCGATTGTCCAACCTTGACTTGAACTTAAACTGTCCGTTTCATTACGTAAACCTACTGTTACCTCATTTCTTCTTCTCTATCTTTAAGTTGCCAACTACTTTGATTGTTCAACTTGAGCAACTGACTTCGATTTCTTCGGTATTTTCGTCCTTCAGGATTTTGCACGATATAACTACGTGGTTCGCTGGCATTCTTCGTTTCTGTTACAGGTTTCCAACTCTTCCCGTCTCTCATTCGAACGTGTTCACCTTCCTCGCGTGAAGGAAGACTGTTGGCGTTCTTATCATGGCACACTTTCTGTTGCTGCTGTCCTTTTTCACGATTATCTTGAAAATCTTGTGCATCAACAATTTCGGGCTTGAAATGGGTAGGTAATGCGGGAATCGTAGATCTCAAATTTCGACTCATTAGTAGTTGAGCTGGAGTTGCGAATCCGTCCATTGGGGTATTTCGGTTTTCCAGAATGGCCAGGCATGGATCTTGACGACTGCTTAATTAAAGCCTTCGATAACAACTTTTTACCGTCTGTACCGTTTTTTTCTGCTAAACCGTTGCTTCTAGGATATCGTGGACTTGATTTGACGTGTTTGAATTCCCATGTCTTTGCAAACTCTTGGAACTCTCATGAAGCATATTGTGGACCATTGTCTGACATCACTTCTTCTGGAATTCCATATTAAACGTAAAAATATCTTTCTCAACTCAGCTATGATGCATTCAGCCTTCATACTTCTGAGTCTGACCACTTCCCAATATCGACTGTAGTAGTCCACCACCAATAGGTAGTCCTTGTCCTGCCAATGAAATATATCCGTTCCGACAACTTGCCATGGGTACAGTGGAACTGCATGCGGGATTAGCGTTTCTTAGTTCTTGACAATGAGAACACTTTGATACAAAATCTTCAATGTCTTTATTGATTCGTGGCCAAAAAACTGATTGTCTCGCCCGTTGCTTCGTCTTTTCAATACCTTGATGACCTTGGTGCAATTTGTCCAGAATTTTTCTTCTCAAGGCTAGTGGTATTAGCATTCTTTGGTCTTTGAGAATGATTCCTTGGATTTCACTAAGTTCCAGTTTGTGATTCCAGTATTCTTTTAGATCCTCGGGCAAAACTTTCTTCGTCCACTCGAAGCATTTGGATAATCTTCTGTGAAACAGGATATCGAACGGTTTCTTGGCGCACTTTCTCAAGGATTTCACTGGAACATGGTAAATTCGCATAAAGAAGATGAACTTGGGATTTCTTATCTTGCTCGCTGATTTCTTCTGCAGTGTCAGCCAACTGGGCTCTTGACAGAGTGTCTGCGACCTTGAGAAGCTTTCCTGGTTTGTAGATCAGGTTGATATCGTACTTCTGCAATCGTAAAAACTTTCTCTGCAATCTTGCTGGAGCCGCACCCAAAGGTTTCTTTAGGATATTTTCCAGCAGTTTGTGATTTGAGTGAACTTCGACTGTTTTCCATAAATATACTGATGGAACCTCTCGCACGCGAAAACCACAGCCAAAAGTTCTTTTTCTATCTACGCATATCTCTTTTGTGTCGTTGTCATCGTTCTGATGGCATAGGCAACAGGGAGCCCATCTTGCAGCAATACTGCACCAAGACCTTTACTTGAGGCATCCATTTGCAGTACAACTGGCTTCGTGACGTCATAGTGTCTCAGAACGCGATCGGTTGAAAGGATTTCTTTTATTTTCTTAAATGCAGCTTGATGATTCGCCGTCCAGTGCCAAGGAACTTGTTTGTTCAAAAGCTCCCTCAACGGTGCAGTAATCTCGGACATTGCTGGAATAAACTTTGCTAAGTAGTTCACCATTCCAAGTAGCCTCTGCACTCCTAGTTTGTCTTGCGGCGCTGGCATGTTGATGATGGCCTCGATCTTCGTCTGATCTGGTTGTACTCCCTCTCCCGTTAGTTTGTGTCCAAGGTAGGTTACCTCCGTTACATGAAACTTGCACTTGTCAGGGTTGAGGGTCATTCCGATCATCTTGGTTGTTAACAGACTTGGTTCGGTCTAGAGTAGCTTGTAATCTGTGATCATGCTCTTCGATCGTTTTTCCCCAAACCAATATGTCATCTATGTCGGCCTCGACTCCTTCAAAATCTCTCGACTCCTTCAAGATCTCCGCACGGCAATCTTGTAAATCAGTATTTTAGTGTTTGTATAAGTTTAAAGTGTATATTAATTGTCATAGCTTAATTGTAATTATAGGTTAGTTAATTATCTTGTAAAATGTTATACTGTAGATTTCACCGTGTTTAAATAAAGTTTTTGATTGATTGATTGATTGATTGATTGATTGGTTGATTCTCTTATCTCAAACTCATTAATAATTCATGAGTAAATTGATTGATTGATTGATTGATTGATTGGTTGATTCTCTTATTACCTGAAACTCATTAATAATTCATGAGTAACCATATTGTTTTATTTTGCTCCAATGATAATACTGGATACCTGATGAAGTACATTGATTCCCTCCTAGGACTGGATCAAAATTAATTCAGTCCTAGGACTGGATCAAAATTAATTAGATAGTGATTTATTCGTATGAGATGTCATTTCAAATCCTCCAATTCGGACTGGACTAGATTTCAAGTCCTCGCATTTTAATCCAGTCCCCGGCTTCGCCTCGGACTTCGCGCGGACTTGAAATCTAGTCCAGTTCTCATAGTCGGATTTGAAATATTACGTGAAATACTTCTTGTGTTGAATGGATACCAAAAGGCATTCTCAGGAATCGTACCGCCCAAAGGAGGTGTTGAAGGTCGTCAGTCTTGAGCTTTCATCATGCAGCGGTATCTGCCAATACCCCTGATTAGCATTATCGACGGCTTCTCGACGATGACAGGATTATGTACCCAATCTGTAGGCTTGTCCACTTTAACAATGACTTGTTCTTTTTCCTTGCGATCGAGTTCTTGTTTCAGCTTATCACGTAACATGGCTGGAATCTTTTTTGGGATTTAAGTGACTGGAACTGCTTGGGGATCCAACTGCATTCGATAACACTCATCTAGTTTCCCAAGTCCGTGAAAAAATTTTATTGTAATTTTCTTTAATCTGCTCCGTTGAACAACCGCTGACCAAGCTGTCCGACTTCAGGCTGTGCATAACCAGCCGGTACGACCATATCCACATGACTATATAGCCGGTAAAGTATGCGAGTAAATGGCGACTGTCAGTCGCGCATCATGTACACTTCCAATCCAAACGCTAATCCTAACCCAAACCCTAATCCTAACCCTAATCCTAACCCCTAACCCTAACCCCACCTCCTAGCCCCTGACCCCTAACCCCACCTGCTAACCCCGCAACCTAACCGCAAACCCTAACCCCTCCAGCTACCCCTCGGACAGTAAATTACTCGGATCGGATCGGATTTCGTTTTGTTTCTGTCGGATCGGATCGGATTTTGCAGGTTTTTTGTCGGATCGGTTCGGATTTGATTTTTCTTGTATCACGTCGAATTATTCGAATATTTTTACAAATTGAGAAAG